AGATTTGAACTCGGGACCTTCGCTCATTTCGTTAGAGGCGCTGCCTCTAGTCAACGGGGACACAACTTTGTCGGTTGTGATCTGGAAGATGATGAATGAACGAAAGTGTTTCGCCGATCTAGTCAAGGAACAATTAAATTCCGCTTTCCAAGGCGCACGCAACGAAAACCCTCAATGTCCGTCACATAGTGACAAAGTGATAGGATGAAGAAGTGGACCCGACAATGCAAAGATAGACCGGAATTCCCATATCCGGCTTATTTGCCGACATCATCCCGTCATAACCAATCTCGGTGTTTGGCACCCCGGAGATTTGAACCCGGGACCTTCGCTCATTGCGTTAGAGGCGTGCCTACCGAGATTTGAACCCGGGACCTTCGGTGATTGCGTTAGAGACGCTGCCTCTACACGAGATTTGAACCCGGGACCTTCGGTGATTGCGTTAGAGACGCTGCCTCTAGAGATTTGAACCCGGGACCTTCGCTCATTGCGTTAGAGGCGCTGCCTCTAGTTCACGGGTCCCCTGCTTTGTCGGTTGTGATCGGGAATATGATGAATGAATGAGGCGGGTCCCCTGCTTTGTCGGTTGTGATCAGGAATATGATGAATGAATGAAATCGGGTCCCCTGATTTGTCGGTTGTGATCGGGAATATGATGAATGAATGAAAGTGTTTCGAGATCTAGTCAAGGAACAATTAAGTTCCGCTTTGCCAAGGAGCTCGCAACGTGACCTAGTCAAGGAACAATTAAGTTCCGCTTTGCCAAGGAGCTCGCAACGCAATCTAGTCAAGGAACAGTTAAGTTCCGCTTTGACAAGGAGCTCGCAATGCAAACCCTCAATGACGTCCTCAAGGTACAATTAAGTTCCGCTTTGACAAGGAGCTCGCAACGCAAACCCTCCTATTAAGTAGCGCTTTGCCAAGGAGCTCGCAACGCAAACCCTCAATGACCAAAATTAAGTTCCACTTTGCCTAGGAGCTCGCAACTCACCCACAATGACCTTGTTCAGGAATATGATGAATGAATGCAGGTGTTTCACCGATCTAGTCAAGGAACATTTCCGCGTTGTCATGGAGCTCGCAACGCAAACCCTCAATGACCGTCACATAGACCGCTTTGCCAAGGAGCACGCAACGCAAACCCTCAATGACCGTCACATAGTACGCTTTGCCAAGGAGCTCGCAACGAGATCTAGCCAAGGAACAATTAAGTTCCGCTTTGCCAAGGAGCTCGCAACGCACACCTCAATGACCGTCATGTCGTCACAAAAGTGAAAGGATGAGGAAGTGGATCCGACAAATCAAAGAACCTCAATGACCGTCACATAGTGACGAAGGTGATAGGATGAAGATGTGGATCCGACACAGCAAAGGGAGACCGGAATGGCCATTTCTCTCTTATTAGCCGTCATAAGAAAGTCATACCCAATCTCGAGGGTTGGCACCG